TGCGCATGGCAGCCGTAAAAAAAACTCCAAGTTCTAAACCCTAAAAAAGCCCTACACCTCAAACCCTCTAAACCGTGGAAGGCCGGAATAATTAAAGCTTGCGGGTGTGGCATACAGGCAGCAGGATGTGGCTTCAACTGTCTGGTGCTTGGTAGGGAATGGGGGAAGGGATCCCTATGATAGTCCCTTAAGGTCCTTTGTAGTAGTCCCTACAACCCATTCCCCTATTCCCTACCAAGCACCAGACAGTCAAAGCCAGGGGTCGACAGGCGGAGGAGCCCTTAGCTCAAGTTGCCGATCTTCGCACAATCCACTTTGAAGCCAGTGCCTTTGTCGTTCATGTTCTTATTGAAGCTCATGGTGCATCCTATAACTGCGCGCAGTCCACGGTTTAGGGTTTAGGGTTCAGGGTTTAAAAGTTTAGGCTTTTAGAGTTTAGCCCAGTCCTAGCAGTCTCTTGACGAAGGACACACCTGCGCACAATGCAACGACCCTCCGCGTCTTCCGCGTGGTGAAGCTCGCGCGCGTGTTGCGAATTGCGCGAGCTCTCCATCTTTTTCGAGGCCATGTTAGAGCTTGGGGGAGTGCCGGGGTGCTGCTGCTTTCTTGGGTTCAGAGGCGTGATTCTTGCTTAGGGCTTTCGCTTAGCAAAACGTGCCATCATTACTTCGGGAAGAATGAAGGGCAGTCCTAGCAGCGCTATGTAGCATGTGTCAGAGCCGTGGCGTGCAGCTTTAGCACGGCTGGTAGTGGGTTCCCGTGCAAACGTTGGAGGCTTGTGGGCCGAGGCCGGGGTGTGAAGTGGACGCAGTTTTGGCTTGCGGCTTAATTTCGCACGTTGACGTGGTAGGATCCCAAAGTTTTCAGTCGTGGCAGTGGCTAGCATAGAGATCTGAATATTTTGTACAAGTACCCCTCATGGTTAACCTCTCTACCAGAATGTAGGCCCCAAACCCAAAACAATTTGATGTGCCCGCTTTACTCTGGAAAACCCTGTAAAACATAGGCCCCTCCTGAAGAACGCGTTAGAGATTGAGAGCCCGAAACGAGGACATGTTTTTAAATTTCGGACGTTACAATCCCCTCAGCACCTTGTAGACCCTTGTAGACACGTAAACCCCCCTTAGCAACTCTAGATTAGCTTGGGACTTGAAGCCCCAGCCGCCGACTTCCCCGACCTCGCAATATGGTAGATGATACGAATCCTGCACAATTAACTTTAATTTAAGGACTCCAAAACATAGGAATCATGGTATATTCCTTTTTTATGGGTAATGCAGATTTATGTCATCAACCGTACTATATGGAGGGTTGCGAGTTGCAGGGTGACTGGTTTACGATCCAAACTGCCACTAGGGGACGACGGGTAGGGCTTTTGCCACCGGCAGCATACCCACGCAAGGCGCCTGTTGCATCACGGCCAAAACGGAAGTAGAAGTCTTGTTGACGGGCCTCATAGTCTTAAGATGTCTCCACCGCACTCCATGAAGCCTGTGAACTCACTGTAAACCTTAAACCCGAAACCCTGAACCCTAAACCCTAAACCCTAAACCCTAAACCCTAAACCCTAAACCTTAAACCCGAAACCCTGAACCCTAAAGGCCCTATAGGCCCCAAACCCTGAACCCTGTCGCTGAACCTCAAGCCACAACTCCCAAAGCAAGAACTCCTGAGCTCCTTATAGTAGTAGTAGTAGTAGTAGTAGTAGTAGTAGTAGTAATAGTAGTAGTAATAGTAGTAATAGTAGTAATAGTAGTAGTAATAGTTATTTGAGCTTTCCCCGAGGCCAGCACCCTTTATAAACCCGTTGGAAAGCTTCACGAAAACCTTTTCAAACCCTTATGGTGCAACCCTTTACACTCTTATAAAGCCAGAAAAAAGCCGCTGAAAACCCTAAACCCTAAACCCTAAACCCCCTAAAGCCTAAACCCTAAACCCTACACCCTAAACCCCCCAAGCCATCTGCCTGAGGTCTACGCGTCCTCGTAAAGGCTTGCAGCTCTTTCTTACCATCCCTCAGCTGGTCGATGGCTCTGCCCCTCGTCTTCGAAGTAAACCCCAAACCCCTAAACACTAAACCCTAAACCCAAAGCCCTGAACCCTAAACCCTATAAGCCCTAAACCCTATAAGCCCTAAACCCTAAACCCTATAAGCCCTAAACCCTTTAAGGGTTCAGGGTTGGGTTCCTCTAAGGGTTTCACAGGGTTTACAAGGGGCTTCTAGTTCTATGAGGGTTCCTCGACAAGCTTTTTGAAGGGTTCAATTGAGGATTGTATGGGGGTTTAAGGATTCATGGAAAAGGTTCCTTACAGGCTTGGTGGTCTTTAGTGATTTGGGTACCCTAAACCCTATAAACCCTATTCACTTGTTTGCCAAAACCTTCACATCAGGTGTTCCCAAGCTCCTCAGGCCTGCCTCAGAATGATCGGTTTAGGGTTTAGGGTTTATGGTATTTTCTATGCATTCAGTATAAAGTGTTAGGAAAAAGGTGCTTTTCAATCCGGGTTGTGGGAGGGGTAAGGGTTACGGTTCAGGGCCTCGCGCGCCAGGTATCCACCCAACGAGTTGGAACCCACGGTTTAGTGTTAGGGTTTAGGGTTTAGGGCTTAGGGTTTAGACACGAGAAGAGCGCCGAACAACCATAATAATCCCTAAATCTTAGAGCCCCTCAAGCCCAGACCAGGCGTTTCTAGGGCTACCCCGAAGGAAACACGTTTTAAATGAAATCGGATGTTGGTCCAATTGAGCCCGACATGTTGATCGGGGCATACATCCTAGACTCCTGATACCCTATAAGCCCTAAACTCCTTCAACCCTACCAGCCCAAACTCTTTAAACCCCATATATAAGCCCTGAACTCCGTAAACCCTTGTGAAATCCTGCTCTGTTAGTGAGTCCATGTCCGTGTTGACGTTCCTGTATAGATGTAGTT